TGTCCCTGGGTTTGTTAACACCACTTTCAATAGGAACATTGAAGCTAGTTTTTAATTTCAGGACTGTTTTGAGTTTTACCCTCTTCCGCTGTTTCTTCTCCCATGACTCCATTTATGTTTATGTTGAGTCTTCTTGACTGCCGCTTCTTTATGCGCCCTGGCCCTATGCCTGCAGGTTTGATCCCCCGGGTCCCATGTCAGCTGGGATGTCCTGCGAAGTACTTGTCACCTTCAAACCTATGGTAAGTACTTGCACCCCAAAAGCCAGGCAGTGTGAAATGGGGTTTTCCCCATGCTGGTCTGTGGGGTAGCGGATGGAATCAGGTCCTTGCCAAGCCTAAAACCCAAACTCACTGCCGTGCTGATTCCTAGCGGCGCCCCCTGTGGGTTTCCAAGTCAGTAACTGTGGACGGGAGCTTCTGGTGGTTTAGAACTGCCGACCATGCAGATCACAGCCCCGCACGTAACTACTACACCACCAGGGCTCCTTGGATGCCTGCAAATACTGGGATAAAGAAAGGGGCATTCAGCATCTCAGGACAGCCACACAGGCCTCTGCACTTTGTTGCATCAGATATCAATGTGATTGCCACCATAATGCCAGGGCTGCCTGCACCTGAGTGGGGGCCCCTTCTGAGCACGCTCTGCTGACCTCTGTGGAGTCTGGGGGCTGCAGGCAGGCCCAGCCAGACCATGGCTCCGTAGACACCCGCAGTGTGTGTCGCTGTGGATGGCGACAGAAACTGACCATGCTTGGGGTTCCTTTGTTGTCCTAGATCAATAAAGATCTGGAAGGCAGCGTCTCTTTTTTGGCTCAGACGGGTGGATTTTCTGTTCCGCTGATATGTTCAGCCAAGAAATGCTCTGTAAGTTCCAAAATAGCTCATGCTAAGTTTCTCAGGACACCCCGGCTAGGGTCCTCCATGAAGCGGGTGTGGGCAGGGCATGGGCATGGTGGGAGGGGAGTGTCCTGTGGTGAGGGGTGCAACTCAAGTCAACTCTGGCCCCTCCTTAGGTGGGTGGCAGGGGTCCTGAAGAGATGAGCACTCACATGACCCCGGAAGAACACGGCCAGCGTGCGTGAGCCTGCCCCGTGTGTCCCTAGAGCTCAGGACCCTCTGACTCGAGACCCCAGCCACTCATACGAGAAGACTGTGTCCCCCCGAGCTTTGTGTCCCTGACATCTTTCTCTTGTCTCGTCTTTCTTCTCTTCGGTCCTTGACCATCCTTGTTCCACCCAGCTGCCCCGCCCGTGTATGTTTGCTGACCCACCTCAAAGTCAGCGAGTGATATCATAACACGCCATCCCTTACCGGTCATGCACTTCTGCCCCACAGTACACTTGGGTCAGTCCCACTCCTCCAGCCTAGAGTGAGGTCGGGGAAAATGGGTGTGTCCAGGAGGGACCCCAGGCCTGACCTCCCCAGCTCAGCTCTGCAAGGTCACTATCAAGGCCTTTGGACAGCTAGGAAAAAAGGACACGCTTTTCACTTGTCCAGAGAGAGACAGTTTTTTCTGCCACTGGCCGGACTGCAGTCAAGAGCCACACACAAACCTAGGATCTCTGAGGTGTGGACATGTCCGGCGCAGGCATGGGCCGGCGTGAGTGGACGTCTGTTAGGGTTACTGCCAGGTGTCCTGGCTGGAGCGGCTCAAATTTCGGCCTTCTCTTAACAGCTGTCCCTTGATAAGAACCTCATTGACTTTGGCTGCTATGTGGTGGGTGAGACCGCATCCCGGGTCCTCACCCTGACTAACGTCGGTGGTCTGGGCACAGAATTCAAATTCCAGCACGCAGCTGAATCCTGCGACCAGGTCCCCTCCATGCACACGGTGAGTGAGACACCTGGACTCGTCCGCAGGCTAGTTGGAATTTGGACCGAAGCTCTTTGGAGTCAGGACAAGGATGGAGCCTAGAGAGGCTGACTCATGGAAAGGAGAGAGAGAGAGAGAGAGAGAGAGAGAGAGAGAACTGGACCACCTCTCGGCTCTCCAGCAGAAGGAGGGTCTGTCCCCATGGCCCACTGAGGAGAAGGGAGGGAGACTAAAGTGACCTCCTTGGCCAAGGGGGCCTGGGAAGCATGAGGTAGGGGACTCAGGGCCCAGCCACTCAGCTTCTAAGTGGGACCCACATGCCAGAGGCCTTGTGGGATTGAGGCAGGTGCTGTGCTGTTTGAACCCCGTGGGTCTGCAGCCCCAAGTAGGCAGAGTGTGGGCAGCACAAGGGCACAGTCCGGGGTTGGGGGAGGGCGTGCTGCTGGCTAGTGAGAAGGATAACAATAAAGGGAGATAGGGAAGTCCCCAAGGGCAGACATTTGGTCCCCTTTTCAGAGCAGCATCATCGAGTATGAAGACAAAAATCTGTACGACAAACCCCTGCCCAGCATCTCTGAGAACCTGTTTGAGGGGAATGAATCTTCACCTGTTGAGACAAGGAAGACAGAGAGCAAAGAGATGGAGGAGGTGCGCCACACAGGTGAGTGACACCCCCCCCCCAACCGCTAATCTTCCAGCACAGAGCCCTGCGCCACCCCCACCCCCACTTCCTGTCCCAGACTCCCCAGGTCAGTGGAGGTGAACTGCAGGCCTCAGGGTCCCAGAGCCCAGAGCTCAGCGTCTGAAGAGCCCGTGAGCCCCGAGAGAAGTTCACCCAGAGGACAGTGGGTGGTGGGTGGGTAGACCAAGTCACAAGGCGGTGGGATTCGTTTTCCATGTAGCTGTTCTAATAGTCAAATAAATGTAGATGTGAAGGGGACTAAGACTTGCCTTGGTAGTTGAACTAACAGAAAACTCAGGACCCTCCAGGCCAGACCCCTCGGGGTTGCTCTCCTCCTCTCAGGCCAGCCCTGGCTGAGCAGCAAGTTGGTGGGACTGGGTGATGCTGGGAGCTATACCGCCGGTATCAGCACTCGTGAATCAGACCGCCGCATGGTTTCTGTTCACTCGCCGTCAGAACGTTCCAAGATCTACCCTCCCGTACAGGGTTGTCAAGTGAGAGGATGCTCTCTCCACGTCTACCAGGAAGACCAGTGAAGATGACTGGGGTTCCAGCTTATACCCCAACCACTAAAGCCAAAGGCAAAGAAACGGAATGTTTCTACCCATTTCTGCAGTCTGAAATGGACCAAACATGCCATCAGAAGATGCATTGGTAGTTACTGGTGATAGTTACTAGGCATGCCACATTTGGAGACACAGCAGATGGAAGCACAGCCCTGGTGAGAGCAACAGTGGTATCAGAACTGGTCGTAGAGCTCCGCACGGCCCACGGCTTCGTCATCGCAAGTCTTCCTTCGCCCAACAGCGTGAACGGTGACTTACGGGATAGGTGGACTTGGCCAAAAGGCTTCCATGTGGATCAAACTGACCCCAGCTGTGGGCAGAGCGCTTGGAGAGGCGCAGTCTCATCAGCCGAAACAAGGCCAGGAATTGACGTGGAGCAGATCATCCATGGCCCATGTGCAATTCAGCTTTAAGCTGAAGAAAATTCGAGCAAGTCCACAAAGGCCCCAATACAACCATGCGTCGATCTCATTCGTAGACCGTTTCAAGAGTAGATGGACATTCGTGACTTGAACATTGAACATTGAACATGTGTGACTGAAGACCAGACGAGTTACAGGATCCTCTCCCCCGGTGAGCCTCGCCACACTCCGTGATGAGGTGCCTTCTGGTTGGACTGCTTCCAAGGCAGTACAAGTTCATTGTTCTGGCCGCCTGGTGGATTCAAAGCTTTTTTTGCCAACACCACAATTCAAATGCATCAAGTCTCCAATTTGCTTTCTTTGTTGTTACACACACACACACACACACACACACATGCATATAAAGTGACTGAAAATGGCTCGGCTTGGAAATAGGAAAACACAATGGCTCGGCTTGGAAATAGGAAAACACAATGGCTCGGCTTGGAAATAGGAAAACACAATGGCTCAGACCAGGCCTATCTTAGCCATCTGAGTTAGTTAATTGTGCCAGCCTGGCCGATAATCACATGTGGGGCTGGGTGAAAGGTGGAGGGATGAATGGGTGGTGAGCTTCGCCTTTCTAGTTCTCGGGTCTCTTGTTTTGTGATGGTTGCATCGGGTGCAGCTGCCTTAGCAGTTCCCTGCTTCAGCTTGCAAGGCTGACTTCCTACAAGACATCCCCAAGGAGAAGCCGCATGGATCTATCCCGATGCAGCCCTGGGTGCTGGAGCAGCCGTGTGGAGACCCCTGCCAGTGCTGAGATGCTTGTTTGTTCACTGACTCAGCTTTCCTCCTGCAGTCGGCATCATTGCCTCTGTTTTGTGAGGTGGAGGACTGTGTGGACTGGTGTTGGGTTAATGGGTTAATGTTGGACTTGTGGGCTTGGGCAGCATTGGGTTGGGATGTTTTCATGATGCACCTTTTCTTTACATAAAACTCTCTCTTATACATGAGTCGCCGTGGATTTGTTTCTCCAAAGTACCCAGACTAATACACCATCAAAACATCATCTTTGCTTTTTAACATTTTACTGATGGTTTTTTTGCCACAGATTTGTCCAGTGCAATATGTCATTTGATTTCTTGACTGCTGTCTCCAGGGGCATTGATTATTTATTGATCCAAGAAGAATGAAACCCCAACGTCATCTCTTCAGTGCTTCTCATGATGTTGTCGGTGACCCCAGTGGTGAGGGCTTCTGTCGTCTTTAGGTTGTGGTGTGATCCACAGGGAAGGCTGTGACCTTCGACCTTCATCGGAAGGGCTTCCAGTGGGCTTCACTGTCTGCAAGCCAGGGGCGGTCATCTGCACACTGCAGGTTGCTAAGGAGTCTCCCTCCAACTCTGGTGCTTCGTGCTTGATCATGCAGACCAGCTTCTTGGATCGTTTGCTCAGCACGCAGATTGAATAAATGCAGTGAGAGGATACAATTTTGCTGCCCACCTTTGAAACCAGACAACAGCCCCTTATTGTACTCCAACCACTACCTTGCAGATTCCACAAGAACACAGTTAAATGTTCTGGAATTCCCATTCTCCCAAGTGTTTCCCATAATTTGTGACCCCCACAGCCCTGGGCGTGTTGCATAGTTTATGAAACACAAGTTAAGCACCTTTCTAATGATATTCTTGGCTTTTAGTCAAGATCCGCCTGACATCCACGGGGATAGGCCTCGGTCCACAGCCTCTTCCGAATCCAGCTCGACTTTCTGGAGTTGCTTGTCTCTAAATAGTTGAATCCACTTTTTAAATTCCCTTCAGCAAGCTCTCGCTGGCCTGTGGTGCCCGTGATACTGGCAGTGAGTCTGTGCGGTGGTCCGGGCCAGGCCAGGCTGTCAGGCTTCTGTTGGGCTCACAAAGCCAGCTCTCAAGAGAGAGCCCTCAGCACTCTCTCCCAATTTTCTGAAAAAGCCCCTGCAATCTCTGTGTTCCTTAAGTGTTGGTAGCATTCACCAGCTGAAGCCCTCTGGGCCTGAAGTTTGCGTGGGAGGCATAGGAAAGGTTTTGGTAAATAATTCAATTTCTCTAGAAGATGTTGGGTTCTGCAGACTTTCTGTGCATCTAAAGTGTCAAAGGTATCGGCAGGAAGCTCATTGGATTCTCTCATTATCCCTTTAATATGAACAGGCTTCAAAGCATGTAGAGGGGAAATGGAATTAAAGGACTTTTTAATTTTTCCACAAACGCTTTGAAGCCCCCTCATACCTGCAGGCTTTTCATTAAAATCCTATTTTTCATCCTTGATGTTGGGCCTTTATGGTCTCTTATTTTCTTCCCCCCTTGATCCATAGAGCTGGGGACGGGTGAGCACCCCTGTCCGTCTTTTCAAAGCACCGCTCGGTTCCCTTTCCTTCCCGTTTCTCTTTGAGCTGGTCGACACAGTGGCTGCAACAGTGGGCTCACACTTAACAAGGGTGAGTGAGGATGGCGCAGGTTCTGCTGGTGGTCCCTTCAGCTGAACACAGGGTCCCTGTGAGTCAGCTTGGTGCAACTTCACAGCAGCTGTTTGGGGGTTGCCTTACTATGAAGGAGCCCTCCTAAGCTAGCAAATTCGATCGCTGACTTTGGATCGTTTCTTACTTTTAGGATGTCAGCACTTTCAGCTATGTGTTGCTCACTAAGTACCGCTCGCTCCCGGGGGGGTCTCCCAATGTTTACTATGTTGTTTGGTCTTGTTTTCTTTTTCTTTTTTCATGATCAATCCATGTGAAGTATTTTTATTGATCAGTATAATTTTATTAAAGATTTGTGTCTGCATTGATGAGGAATCATGGTCTGCACGTGTCCTTGTTAGCTATACTTGACACATCATGCCATTCAAGCGTTCAGTCATCTCAGGAAGGCTCGCGCAGGCTTCCTTCTTGTCCCCACCAATTGCTCCCCACATCCCCCACCGTGCCCTTCAATATCTTTCGTTCCGTTTGTGACTTCTGACTTGATTTGTGGGGCACTTAGAAGGGTTTTGCTTCATTCCCAAGCACCTCACATCTGTGTAGATGACGTGTCGCCGTCTAACGAAATGTCCTTGTGGTCAGAGAGGACGTTCTGTGTGTTTTCAGGCGTTTTCGGTTTGTTGAGGTCATGAGATAGACCGGCATCCGGGCCACCACTGGGCTTGTACCACGCGCATTGGAAATGAGGCGTGGCCTGCTGGGTAGAGTGTCCTGTATGTCCGTGAGATCCAGGTGGTTTATAGATTTCAGATCTTCTGTGTCATTTGTTTCTGGTTTCATCCAATGGTTGTCATAACAACATACACCATAAATTGCACAATACAAGCATATGTATTTTGCTTTAGATAATTTTATCCACAGTGAGGAAATTTAGTGGGGCAGAAAAAGAATTTTTTTTTTCTTTTCCACTTAGCCAGCTCTTGTACATTTAACCAGATAGCAACCACTTCTGATGCTTTTCATTCTTGTCTGATGGCTCAAGTTTTCATCTGGTAGCCTTTCTCTTCAGCCTCTGGCACACCTTATAACCCAGGTCTCCTGGAGACTAATTCAGGAGTTAAAACTATCTTCATTGAAAGAGCATTACATGCTCACCTGCCCGACACCAATGCTGAGGACAAAATGGGATGATAAGCAAATGTGGTGAAGAAAGCTGATGGTGCCCAGCTATTTCAAGATACAGTGTCTGGGGTCTTAAAGGTTTGAAGTTAAAGAAGTAGCCATTTAGCAGGGAAGCCACCAAGCCCACGTGGAAGAAGCATACCAGCTTGTGTGAACATGAGGTGTCTGTGGATGGGATCTGGTTTCAGGCATCAGAAGATCCTCAATAAACAATCATATTGATGCAAACAAATTGGGTCAAAGTGGAGACCCAAAGCCCATCTGTAGACAATTGGACATCCCCTCACAGAAGGGTCACAAGGAAGGGACGAGCCAGCCAGGGTGAAACACACAACATTCCTCTAAGTCTTAAATGCTTCCTCCCCCCACCATCATGTCCTTAGTTCTACCTTACAAATCCAGCTAGACCGGAGCATGTGCACTGGTACAGATAAGAGCTCTAGACACATGGAATCCAGAACAGACAAACCCCTCAGGGACAGTAATGGGATAAGAAAGGCGGGAGGAGAAGGGAGAGAAAGGGAGACCCAATCGCAATGATCACATATCACCCCCCCACCCACCCCCACCCCGGGGATAAGCAACAGAACCATGGGTGAAGGGAAACAGCAGACAGTGTAAGACATGAAAATAACAATATATATATATATATATTTTAAAATAACAACAATTTGTAAGGGTTCACCAGGGTGGAAGGATGGGGGAGGGAGAGAAAAAAGAGGAGCTGATACCAAGGGCTCAAGTAGAAAGAAAATGCTTTGAAAATGATGATGGCAACATATGCACACATATGATTGAGACAACTGATATATGGATTGTTGAAAGAGCTGTAAGAGCCCCCAATGAAATGATTTTTTTTTAAGCTGTAAACTTATATTTGAGGGCGCTATTCATTTGGCTGAACTAAAACTTCAAACTCTATCTCTTCTGTGCTGGACGACAGCTAGAAATTTGTCTTTACTTTTCCTTTGAACTAATCTGCTTGGACGAGGGCACTGGTGGTTCAGTGGTGGAATTCTTACCTCCAGTGGGAGACCCAGGCTGTTCCCAACCAAGGTGCCTCATGCACGGTCACCAGCCATTGATCAGTGCAGGCTTACATGTTGCTACAGGACTAAGCAGGGATTTTTTAATCGTTTTATTAGGGGCTCATACAACTCTAATCACAATCCATACATACATCAATTGTGTAAAGCACATTTGTACATTCATTGCCCTCATCATTCTCAAAACATTTGCTCTCCACCTAAGCCCCTGGCATCAGCTCCTCATTTTTTCTCCTCCCTCCCCACTCCACCCTCCCTCATGAGCCCTTGATAATTTATAAATTATTATTTTGTCATATCTTGCACTGTCTGATGTCTCCCTTCACTCACTTTTCTGTTGTCCGTCCCCCAGAGAGGAGGTCACATGTAGATCCTTGTAATCGGTTTCCCCTTTCCAACCCACCCTCCCTCTACCCTCCCAGTATCGCCACTCACACCACTGGTCCTGAAGGGATCATCCGCCCTGGATTCCCTGTGTTTCCAGTTCCTATCTGTACCAGTGTACATCCTCTGGTCTAGCCAGACTTGCAAGGTAGAATTGGGATCATGATAGTGGGGGAGGGGAGGAAACATTTAGGAACTAGACGAAAGCTGTATGTTTCATCATTGTTACATCGCACCCTGACTGGCTTGTCTCCTCCCCGAGACCCTTCTATAAGGGGATGTCCAGTGGCCTACTAATGGGCTTTGGGTCTCCACGCCCCGCCTTATTCACTATGATATGATTATTTGTTCTGACTAAGCAGGTTTTGCAGCGCTTCCAGACTAAGATAGACTAGGAAGAAAACCCTGGTGATCTACTTCCCAAAGTCAGTCAATTAACTTTATGGATCACAAAAGTCCTATCCACAACCAACCACGGGCCTGGACCAGGATTGGGAGTGTTTCATCCTATGGGCCAGCGCTACAGACGTGAATTACATTGGATGAGGCGGATGGACACAGTGGCTGCGTCGTCAGTGGGCTCGGGCACAGGCACAACGGAGGACGGCAGGACCGAGCAGTACTTCGTTCTGCTGTGCTATGGTCGCTATGAGCCGCTATGAGTCAGAGCCGACAACGAGCCACAAGAGAAGTCAAGACAAGGAAGTACTGGCAAAAGGATGGGCACATGGGTTCCGTGGAATCTACTGGCAATTCCAAAACTAGTTCCACACTGATATTAACAGAGGTTCAAAGGTGATCCTTTGGAAAAAGGACTCTTTTCAACCAGTGATGAATTAACGCTTGGGAAGACATATATATTTTTAATATTTTACCTTTGACCGATTTCTCACACTGTAGACACAAATGAACTCAGAATAGATTACAGACTTAAACTCTACACCTGAAGCTATAACACTTCTAGAAGAAGGAATTGGAAGGAATCTGTGACTTTGAATTAGACAAACATTTCTTGGATGTGACATTATAAGCTTCATCCCTTTTTTTAAAATTAAGAATATATATAAATTTGAGTTTAAGCCTATAATCTTTGAAAAACATCATTAAGAGAATGAAAAATAACAAAGTTAAAGAAAATAACAAAGTGGCAAAAAATATTAGTAAATCACAAATCTCATTAAAAACTTGTATCAAATATAAAAAACATTCAAAACTCACAACAAAAAGTTTAAATAACCAAGTTTCAAAATGAGCAAAATATTGAACACATACTTTATCAAAGAAGATCTGTGTACAGCAAATGAATATATGAAAAGATTCTCAACATCACTACTCATTAAGGAAATGGATATTTCAAATATCATTGTAAAAATAAGTATATGTAAACCATGGGAAAACTGGAAGGCTATGAAAGCATCGCAAAGGAATGAGACCAAATAGGTTTGGAAGTGAGCAAAGTAAAACTTGAAGAGGTAGAATTATAATTGAAAATGAAAATTCAGTAAATGGGTTAAACTACAGATTAGACATTACTGAAGAGAGAAATCATGACAAGAGACATTGTCTAACTGTGAGCAGAAAGACAGAGACATCGAGGTGAAAGGCATGCTAAGAGCCATCGAGCCCAGTGAGAAGCCTACAACTGGTGACTTACCCATTGTGGTCAAGGAAAGATGATGTTCAAAGACATGCTCACTGGGAGTATTCTGAACCGCTGGAACAGACCGAAGCTCAAAGCCCGTCGAGAGTCCATGTCCAAGATTAAAACAGAACTCACGGAGCAGGTAAATGAAGAGCCGGATTCTAGAATGCATGCAAGCTTGCTTTCCGGACCAATGGGTCAGCACAGGTCCAAACTTAGACGGTGAGACCACAACACCATCCACACAGATCAACCCAGGGTGGATCCTGAGTCCAGCTGGAGTTGAGGGTGCAGAGAAAGACCCGGGGGGCTCAGTTCCAGACTGCCCAATGAAGCAAAGCCCCTGCATTCAGACTGGTGGTAAGGCTTGCTGGAGAAACCAGAATTGCGGGCCCGCTGCCTCTTACAGTCCCGGGCCCCCAGGAACGGCGTGTCGTGCTCCATAAGGAAAGGGTGGGGCTACCAGAGAGGCGGACCAGAGGACGTGATGTCCAGGGTGCGGGCTGGGGGTGGACCTGGCATGTCTGCTTGGGGTGCTTCACGGTGGCCTGACCCAAAGGAGCCTGAGCCAAGCTGGCTGTAGACACTCAGCAGCCTGGACGGAGGCCAGAGCACAGCGATGCCGGGAAAGGCCACTGACCTTTGCTTTGTGGATGGTCTGTCCCCCCAGTTCATAGCACACGAGGCATCTCAGACATGCCGAGGCAGAACTGGCTCCCAGAGAACCTTCTCATCAGCTGCAGGGGCGAGTTCCAGAGGCGGGTCCAAATGCAAGACCCCCAAAACTCGGAGCTGTGTTAAACCCTCCCTCCGCTGACAGTTCACTGGGAAATGCAGCCTTGAGGGGTAGACGCCCAGCTGCCACCCCTGGGCTGGCCCCGCCCCATGCTGTTGCAGGGGCCACACTCCGTGATGGCTCCCCTCTCCTCCACATACCCCGCCTCTAGTTCCACCATCGCTGTGCTACTGGCTCAGCAGCTTGACCTACTTTGTTAGGAAATGGGTCTTGGAAGATGTCATCGGTTGAGCCGAGGTCACACTGGAGTAGGGTAGCCCTAATCCCTTTAGTGATGGCTTAGAGAAGATGGAGAGGGAAGTGGACCATGTGACCATGCAGCCACAAGCCAAGGGATGCTCGGGGGCCCCCAGAAGCCAGAGGAGACCAGGAAGGATCCCCTCTAGAGTATTCGAAGAGAGCACAGCCCTGCCTCCAGGACCGAGGATGTGTGAGCCTTCCCGAGGTGGGAGGCTCTGACAGCAGTGCCCTGCCCAAGACTCAGACTCCCCCAGCCCCTCGGCCTCCTGATCAGACAGAGTGTTCAGCACAAAGGGCACCCACCCCCCGTGGCTGGGGCTCCTCCCATCACCCCAGGACCGGAAACAGTCCTGGCACCCTAAGCTCATGAGCCTTTCATCAGATCAGGAACCAGGACAAGGCGCGTCACACCGGGTCAGGGTGCCCAGTGCTGTGCATCTCCCACCCGTGACCTCACCCTCACCCATTCTGAGGCCACCTTCGGACAAGAGAAACCCAAACCAGTCATTGACAGCCAGTTGATACCGACTCATAGTGACGCCGTAGGACAGGGTAGAACTGCCCCTGTGAGTTCCTGAGACCGTGACTCTTGATGGGAGTTGAGAGTCTTGTCTTTCCACCAGCGACTGCTGTTTTCAAACTGCTGACCTTGTGTCTAGCAGCCCACTGGTCACCACTGAGTCACCAGGGCTCCACAGGACCAGGGAAGGGGCTCAGAAACTGAGGACTTCCGGTTGCTGCCCGCCAGCCTGTCTCCATCCCCCTTGTGTTCCCAGATTCCCATCTGCCTGGACAAAGAGATCTGTGAACCAGGCGAGGCTAGGGTGAAAGGGTACCCCACCCCACCCCACCCCTGTCAGGGCCTTAGAACAATCCCAAGAATGGGGCAGGAGGAAGGGCATTTCGAGAACCCTCCCGGGGAGCCCTGTCTCCCTCTGCAGCACTCTGACCAACAATCCGAGGAGTGGGTCTAGCCTCAAGGCTATGCCCAACATCAAGGGGCAGTGGGTCTGCCCGGCCCCCCAGCATCGCCTGTGGCCCATAGTAGCCCACAGCTGAGCTGTGTGCAGAGATGACAAGCTCCCGGGGACAGTGAAGTGGAGATGCACCTCCACCCACTTCATACCTTGACACACACACCCCTTCCTTCCAGAGTCCGAGGGAATCACAATGACCACCATCACGGAGGTGCCTCCCTCTGAGGAGGAGATGGAGATCCAGTTGGGAGAGGTCAGGAGGCCCAGCCCCCCTGCACCCATGCCGCTTGAAGCAGGGCATCCAGGCCACACCCTCAGGTCGCTGGGCCACCTTCTGCTCCACTGGAGACAAAAGAGACTGCGATCTGGCCTCCAGCGGTGGGCAGGGCCCAGGGGAGGACAGGATTGGCCCGGCGTGGGGAAACCCTAAGCTGCGGGCTTCTAGGCCAGGATGTGAGTCACGGAGTCTGGGGAGGATGGAAAGAGGGTCAGGCTGCCGGCCAATTGGCTTCTCACCAGCGCCCCTTGGACTGGGACCCTGCCACAACAGGGACCTCTCACGGGGTAGGTCCAAGCTGGGCAAAGCCTCTTGGCCTGCAGCTGTGTGTGGCCCAGGGCCACACGACAGGGGTCACTGGAAGGTCCTTCCTAGGCTCCTCAGGTGTGTCTCCCTGTGCAGGTAACCGAAGGTGTAATCGGCCCCTTCAGCTCCATCAAAGTGCCCATCATCTTCACCCCGAGCATCCCAGGGGAGATCCAAAACAGGTTCAAGGTCACATTTAAGAATCCCCAGTGCCCCACGGTGAGTACTCCCACCACTTCCGACTGATTCCCCATGACGTGAGCCTCCCCTTGCGCGGGACACCAACTCCCCTCTTCCTACCCACCCACCCCCAGCCATGGGAGACACTTGCTTCCCATAAGATTGTCAGTGCCCTGACCAGTTGGCTAACTGGTGACACAGGTGGTTGGGAGCAGAATCTATACAACACAGAGAGCACACATGCACACACACAGTACACACGCATGCAGAGTCTACATATATGCACATGTACGCATGATATACACATGCACACCCACACTCATGCACAGATGCTATGGACACACATGTGCATACTCATACCCAGAGCCCTTGCTCTGAATGTCTTTCTTAACTCCCGATTAGATTTCTATGCATGACTTCTTATCATTTACTTTTAAGTGTGCTAAATTAAATTATGATCAGAGAATACGATCTGCAAATAACCCATTTTTCAAATTTGTTAAGTTTTTCTTTGTGACCAAAGGCAAGAATGGATTTTTGTCCATGTGATGTGTGCCTATGAAAAGAGTATTTGCTGAAGATATGTAGACAAATTTATTAAATCCTGTCCCTCTGTGTTCTTCCCAGGGGACCTGGTGGTGGTGTGGGTTACGCCTTGGCTTGCTAACCACAAGGTCAGCAGTTCAAAATGACTAGCTGCATCTTGGGAGAAAGATGAGGCTTTCTACTCCCATAACGATTTAGTCTCGGAAACCCACCGCCACAGTTCTACCCTGTCCTATAGGGCCATGAGTTGGAATCAACTCAATAACCGTGAATTCTGTGTGTGTGTGTGTGTGTGTTCTTCCCACAGTGTCTCTATTCCTCTGTGATTCTGTTTTTAGCAAGTTAGTTTTCATTTCTAATAGATGAGCTTAATGTGGCTGATGTATTGTTTAGTGCATGCAGGTTTACAACATGCTTTTCTTCAGCATGGTCTGTGCCTTTCCTTTAGCCAGGGTGACGTTACAGCCTACTTTCCTCTCATATTGCGTTCATTGCCCCACTCCACCCTCAATAATGCTTTTTCGTCTTGTTAGAAATCATTTTACTGGGACTCTTACAGCTCTTGTAACAATCCACGCATCAGGTGTAGCAAGCACATTTCGTACATGTGTTGTCATCATCGATTTCAAAATATTTTCTTTCTGTTTAAGCCCTTGGTATCAGCTCCTCTTTTTAGTTATCCCTCCTTCCCCCACCCTCCCACCCTCCTGGACCCCTGATAAATTATAAATTATTATGATTATTTTCATATCTTCCACCGCCGCTGTCTCCTTTCCTCCGCGTGAGTATTGTTTGTCCCCCTGGGGAGGGGGCAGTTAGCCCTCCTTGGAGTCAGGTCCCCATTCCTCCCCTTCCCCCCAACTAGCCATGCTTTTTCGCCGCTTGTGTCTGGTTTCACGTATCAGCTCAGATGAGCACTGTTAGCTTTTACTGGGAGAATCCAGCCCTTGCATCCAACTGAAAGACACCCCTTATCTCTTTCCTGCCATCCTGGCGAATGTTTTCCTCCTTTTCCGTTTCCGTTTCTGTTTTAACTCAGTTGCTGCTTGTTCCGATTCCCCTGTTATTTTTTCAACTCTGCTTTTCCATTCCCACTAACAACCCCCTCCTATTTCTTACCTCGCATTCAGACCTGACTTCCTGTGCCTTACCTGGAAAGAGGAGACCTTTCCCAAGATGCACTGGCTCCCACCAACACTGCCTTGTGTCTGTGGTTGTTTGTGGTCCGACTCACCGTGCCCCGATGCACAACCAGACAGAGCATGGCCGCCCTGCGCCGTGCTCCTGATCACTGGGATGCGTGAGTCCATCGTGGATAGTGTGCCCATCTGCCTATTGGGGGCTGCCATCATTTGTACTGACCCTCGGTTTCAACAAACAGAAATGTCCTTTTCTAGAAACCGGTCTTTCCTAATGACCTGTGCACAGTCATAGGGGCCAAGTCTTGCCAGCTCACTTCTAAGCAAAGCCCTGAATGTGTTTCTTGTAACACTGATTATTTGTCCACCTCTCTTCGTCTTTGGTTTGGGAAAGTTGAGCTATAACGTGTCTGGGGCTTTTGTTGGAGGTTCTCAGAGCTTCCTGAAATCTTCATTTTTCATGAGAAGATGTTCTCGGTTTCTATGTGATCTTGATCTTAGTTTTGGATCTGTCTCTTCTGAAATTTGAGGCACATGTACATTATTCCTCCTGACAGTATCCCACGTCACTCTTACGCTTCCTCGTTCCCTCTTCTGGCTGCTCTTCTAACAGGTTGATAAAGTCGTCTGTCCTGTGTCACTGAGTCTGACTTCGTTGATCCTGTTCTCACACAGTATCTGTTTCTGAAATGTTGGTGTTAATCTTCTGAATCGCCAGGTGGTGTTTCTGTAGGGTTTCTACTCGTCTCTTTTGCTATTTTGTTATTGTATTTTCCCCTGAATCCTTCTAGAGTCTTGTCTGTACTTTCTTGATTTCACCTGTGTTTTCACCAATCTTTCTTGATTTCTCAGGAGTGCTGTATATGTACCCACTACCACTGAGTCATAGCAATCCTATGAGACAGAGTAGAACTACCCTTTGGATTCTTGAGACCTTAAATCTTTTGGGGATCAAACAGCCACATCTTTTCCCCACGAAGCCAGTGCTGGGTTCAAGCCACTGAACTTGAGCTTAGCAGCCCACTTGTAATCCACTGTACCATCAGGGCTCCGTAGCCCAATACGTGGGTCTTTTGAATTTCTTATCTGGTAGCTGCAATGCCGGCTCTTGCTCAGGAAGGTTCCAGGCTTTTTCTTTGGGTCGTTTGCCGGAAGGAGCTTGTCCTGCTTCTTTAGATGATGGTATGTTATCTGCTGTTGCTGAAACATTACGATATGGTTCTGTTTATTTATTGTGTGTTTGCTGCATCCTGATTGTTGTTTGTTTGTTTGTTTCCTTGAGCTATCTGGGAAGGTGGGGTAGGCATGCTACTCTGCTTTTAAGTTGTCACACTGGAGTTCATGCCACCTGTCTCTGATTGAGTGGTATAGGGGCTGAATGTGTGAATCCAGGTCTCTGGTCCCTGGTTGTGTAAGGCAGCTGAGCACGGGCCGGGCAGGTGTTGATCACTCTCTGTTATTGGTCCAATGGCACTCACCAACTGGGTGGGACAGCAGGTGTGGCTTGTCTGATTGACTAGTGGGAGTGGGTTTCAGTTGCCACCTCCCACTGGGGGGTGGGATGGGGGGGCGGGGGCATGCTGACATGCGCACAATTGGTCCTAGCCTCCCCTTACAGGGTCAGGGTGAGCAGTGGTTGGGATGAGGGAGAGGAGTGACAGGCAGGCATATGTGGGGTTTAGGTCTGCTGCCTCTCATCAGGCAGCGGGGAAAAGATCTCAGCTGGGTCTGTGGGCAGGAGGAGCAGGAGCAGGGTGAGGGATCACACAATACCCAGATGGCCTGCGCCCACTCACCTGGCTCAGTAGCAGGAGGCACAGGGCAAGCAGCCAGCACCACACTAAAGTGGCCTGCTGCCACTCAGCAGGGTGGATTAGGAGCCGTAAAGATGGGTATTGGGTAGAGAAAGAGCGGGAGCTTGTTCCTTGGTCCCCACCAGTCAAGGCTACAGGGATGGGCAACTGTAATGCCAATCCCCAGGAGGAGAGCAGGAGGGGAGTTGGCACCAGGTGGGGCATGGGTACCTAGGTCTGACCATGTGCTGTAACCAACCATCAGGACCTTTTCTCATGACCACACACTTATTCTGTGTCCTGTTGGGGACTCGCTGAAGTTATGTTCTATGCTCCTCCCCCTGCTAGCTGCCATCTTTGTCTCACGATGGCCATGCGGTGCTGGCCCACTGGTGGCACAGGGCCCAGTGCTCTGTTGCTTCTTGTTGCTGTTTTCCACCAGGTTCTTCTTCTGGCCAGTGCCCCAGCGAGTTCTTTATCCTTTTGCTCGCTGCTCAGTGCGCCAGGATTGTCTTCACGTAGTCTTTGCTAGAGAGGGATGGCACAGCACGGCACGGCACATCTGCCGAAACCACCATGTGGGTCCGGAGGTCTTCACTCTGGGCCAGCCAGCTTGTGTCATCTGCCGATCCAGGTTGCTAATGGGTTTCTTCCGATCCCAACGCCACATTCTCCTTCAAGCAGTCCACCCTCTCAGACTCGGTGCCCAGCAGACAGAGGGAAGCTGCACCCCTTCCCAACTCTGGACGGTACACCACCATCCCTTGTCCTGTTGGAGCCACGGCCCCTGATGCACCGACAGGCTCCCTGGGAGCACAGCTGAGCGTTCTGGAATATATGGACAGCCAGCGTACAACGCACTTCCTGGAGCCCTTTCCCCCACTCCACCCCCTCCTGCTTTGCCCTTGGCCTACAGATTTCATACAGCAGTCATTAGAATGGCCCCGACCAGCGCCTCTCTGCCATTTCAGGACCACCCGTGTCCCAGACGGCTCCTGGTGCTCTCCCCCATGCCTCCTCTCCCCTCTCCCCCGCTCCTTGTCCAGTGAACAAGCACGGGAGTCCGCAGGAGACGGGCCATGTGAAAGCCAGGCCATCTGAGGGGCTAGTCATCTATGGCCATCTTGCAGCAAGTGGGTGGGGCAGCTCCCGCCCCCCCCAGAGCCAGTTGTAAGCATTCCCCAGCACATCGCCCTCTGGGCGCGACCTGGTGGCCTTTCCCCGTCAGCTGTGTCATTGCAGTTGGCCGATCTCCTCCGTATTCGGCCCTGGCTTCTTGTCCCCGGCCCCAGAAGCACGGTGTGTCTCCACTAACTCTATGGACCGGGGGTGCGGGTGCCAGAGCACTCTCAGTGTCAGAAGCCCTGTGCTGTAGGTTGTGGGACCAGAGGTGGGGTACCTCACCCTCAGGAGCCGCTTTGGCGGTCCTGGTCTGTGAAAGAATCACGGTGCGGGCAGTTTCCTTCAGATGAGTTAGACTTCGGTCAGGAGTCTTTTTTTTTTTTAACCATTTTATTGGGGGGACTCATACAACTCTTATCACAATCCATCCATACATCAATTGTGTAAAGCATATTTGTACATCCGTTGCCCTCATCATTCTCAAAACATTTGCTCTCCACTTAAGCCCCTGGCATGAGCTCCTCATTTTTCCCCCTCCCTCCCCGCTCCCCCCTCCCTCATGAACCCTTGATAATTTATAAATTATTATTTTGTCATATCTTACACTGTCCAACATCTCCCTTCACCCACTTTTCGGTTGTCCGTCCCCCAGGGAGGAGGTTATATGTAGGTCCCTGTGATCGGTTCCCCCTTTCCACCCCCCTCTCCCTCCACGGTCAGGGGTCTTTCTAAGCCACTTAAAACTATTGATAACTGTGCAGTCGGAGCGCATTCCTAGTCTATGTTTACCATTATTGTTTTTAATGTTTGAGAAGGCGTAAGATACAGTGTTCTGAGACATTCTGTGACATCAAAAGTACCCCCGACTTCAGAGAGTGGCTCGTTTGATCACCGACCTCCCAGTCCTTGAAAAAGTTCCAGCACGTCGCGGCGGCAGGGGGCTGGGGAGGACTCTGGTGGCTGGTTGGTCCTCCTCTGCCACCGAGTCACTGACATGAGCATGTTGCTGAACTTACACCCCAACCCAGCTGTATTTCAAAGTCATTGGCGTAGCCATCGATGTGCCCGTCTGGATGCCCAAGCCCAACGTGGACCTGAAGATCTGCATGTACGACCGGCTGTACCAGGACACGGTGCTGGTGCAAACGCGGTGAGGCCCCTGCTGGGGCAGCCCTGGAGCAGGACGTGGGGCTGGGCAGTCGGAGGCGCGTGAAGGGCCTTGAGGTGGGCGATTATTCTGGATGAACCCAGGGGGCCTGACATCCTCCCAGGGTCCCTAGGAGGGAGAGGCAGGGGATCAGACCATCAGGGAGGGGATGTGACCGTGGAGGCAGCCATCGGGAGGGGGCCGCTGCTGGTTTGGGGGCTGGTGGTGGGGCGGGGGCAAAAGTCAAGAGATACAGATGGCCTCCAGAAGCTCCAAAAGAAACGAAAAGAGGTCACCCCCGCAGAATGCTGCGGACCCCTGTGAGAACCGTCCCCGGCTCTGGCCTCCAGGACCAGGAGCGAATCAGCTTATGCTGCTGAAAGCTCCTCACTTCCTTGGCCGTTGGTATGGTGGCCGGGCAGCTGCGATGGGAAACTAGCCACCCGCCTGCCCAGCTCACACGCGGCTGGACACCTGCAGGGGCATACACACTGTGGAGCAGCGGTTCTCAACTTGTGGGTCTCGACCCCTTTGGGGGTCCAACGACCCTTTCACAGGGGTCGCCCATTCATCACAGTAGCAACGTGACAGTGATGACGTAGCAATGAAAATAATGTTATGGTTGGGGTCACCGCCACGAGGAGCTGTATTCAAGGGCTGAGGCCTTAGGAAGGCCGTGGAGGGTTTCCAGCAGATCTTGAGGCAGGGAACGGGGTGGGGAGGGGGCAGGCAGTGCAGCTGTGCCCAGAGCTCAGAGAAGGCCCTGAGAGCAGAGAGGGTGCCCCCTGAAGGTATGCAAGGACGTTGATGCGACATTCATAGGGAAAAAGGCAGCCAGACCCTAGAACCCAGCACAGCCAACCTCCATGAATCGCAGCATGTGTGTCCAGCCCAGGCCACTGACCCCAGGGCCCCCAGCACCACTGTCCCCTTACCACACTTCCATTGTTCCGTGCACATCAGGGACACGGGGACTTGCAGGAAAAACACAGGCTACCAAGGTGATGGTGTGGGGGGAGCAGTTTCCTTTCATGACTGGCCCGTCTGTGGGGTGTGACAAGCCAGGGATCGGGCGGCGTCCACAAGGAGGTGGAGCCCTGAAGGGTAAGGTCAGGTGTGTGTACCGGGGAGATAAGTCCTTGGGCTTCTGATCCCGTCCCAGGGCGAAGGACATCTGCCTCGGAGTGTGCACCCTGTGCTTCATCGTGGGGGTGGGGGACCGCTTCCGATTTCTCTGGGGGCCCCCTCCAGGCACGGGTGGACAGCGTCGCTTGTTTCGGGACTGTCATAGCCGGGATGAGCCATGTGTGGATGTGGTTCACTGGCCAGTGTCGTGGGCAGGAAGGCAGACAAAGGTGTTGGTGGGTGCCCAAGAAGAGCCGCCAGGAGCACGTGAGGGAGGAGCAGGAACTGGTAAAGCCAGCTCCCTCGGGAACCTCAGCCCTCAGGGCCCCAGGACCAGAGGCCAGGAGGGAGGAGGAAATCCTGCTACTTGGCCCCTGGGTGCAGGGGAGACCCTGTGACTGCCCTGCAGGCTCACCTCAGGGCACTCCCTGCACTCAGACTTCCACTCTGGCCTCTGGTCCCCCTGTGGGAGGGGCTCACAGGGTAGGAGTGCCTACTGGGGCAGCCAGAGATGAGTCTAAGGGAAGAGCTCTGAGCCCCAACTCCTGGTTCCCCATGGGCCCTATGGCTTGGCCTGCTCCAGCCTCAGCTTCAAGACCACCGCTCCCATGGCAACATCCTGGCCCTCAGGGGAGAAGAGGGAGGGGATTACTCGGAGTGGGGGCTGGGCCTGGACCTGCAGGCACCTCTTCCCAAGCCTTGCTCCAGGCAGGAGGGCCGAACGCCTGGGGGGTCCCCCGCCCAGCCTGAGGACTGGTGTTCAGCCCGCTTTCCACTCAGTGTCCTCTGCCTTTAAGACTGCTCCCAGCGGCCATGTCAGGAGAAGCCACCTCTGGGACCCTGGGTTGTGAGCCCCTACTTAATGCCAGGTGCCCACAGGTCCAAGGTGGCCCTGCGGCTCCGGTTCGAGGTGTGCAAGGAGCTGCAAGCCCACATGGAGCTGCTGCCCGAGACGGGCTACATCCAGGCCATGTCGTCCTACTCGGTGCAGCTCAAGTTCCTGCCTCGGTGAGGGGGCTGGGGTGGGCTGGGGCGGGGAACGGGAGCGAGGACCTGCAGCCGAGTTGGAGCTGCCTCCCTGCCTGTCTCCAAGACTCGGAGCTTTCTCCGAGTTACCGCTCTGACTCAGTGTGACACGCTCCAGCACAGAGTAGGGCTGCCCCCTGGGGCTTCCGGGCCTGAGAGCTTGACTGCAGCAGCAGCAGCAGCGGCAGTAGCAGCAGCCTGCCTGTCTTCCCCCCAGGGAGCCACTGGGTGGGCTCGAACCACCGAGCTTTGGGCTGCATCGGGGCTCCCTCGTTTTACCTGTGCTCTCCCTGACCGTCTCCCCTGCCGCTGGTTTCCTTTTATAATGAGAGCAAACTTTTAAAGGGGGTGATGTATTTCCAAAGGGGCTTGGGGGGACTCAGGTTACAAGTGCCTGAGCACTTAAAGCATGATGCATTTACATCTGTGAGTTTGCGTCCAGCCGTTCAGAAGCAGGCCGATGCCCGGCCGGACCCTGGTGGAGCTGGCTCCATGGGGCACTGAGAGGCTCAGTGTGCCTGGTTGTCCCCCCTGCCAGGGGCTCCATCCCAGGCCTTCCCTGGAGGCCCCATGTTCCTTGTGGCTCAGAAACCCTCACGTGCTGGCCTTTCAGAAGCCGCAGAGGGAGGAGGACCTGAGCACGCGCCCGTCTCTTCCAGACACTCCCTCCCAAAAGACGCAGAGATGTACTTTGACAAAGAGACCCGAGTCCTGGAGGCCCCAATGACCATCTGGGTGGCTGACCAGGTCTGTACGGCCCCGGCCGGGTGCAGCGCCTGAGAAGCTGGGCTGCTCTGAGGGCTGGCCTCTGCGCAGGATGAAGCCCCTGAGGGGAGGGCTCTGCCTGCCATCCAGATGGGCTCTGATGCCTGGCGGCCAGAGGTATCCCTTGCCCAACGACCAATAACACAGAGAAGTAGGGGGTGGTCTGTGTGTGGCTGGCAAGCCACAAGCCTCCAAATCCTGCCCACGGTGGGCTAGCCACACACACGTATACACACACACACATGCATATAGGTACACAGAGGGGCATACATGTAAACACCCAACACACATACATACCCATAGTCACACTCACATGCACACACAGCCAGAGGTATACATGTAGTCAGTGTACTACACACTCAGGCACACGTGTGTGCACACATACAGCCAGAGGTATACATGTTTATTACATCCAACGCACCATATACACGCACAGACACACACACAGAGATATACACGTACACACCCAGTGCATTACACATAGGTACACATACACACACTCATGCACATGCACAAAGTTGTTCATATCTATATCATTCACACCACACACAACCATAGACAAACACATCCACACACGCATATATAGACAGATGTACACACATACATACCCAACACACCACAAGATAATGTGCACATGTATACATAATATACTACAGACTAATGCACACGTGTGCCCCCATAGCAAGGGTACAGGCCCTCCCACACACCTGCCTGCAGCCTCATGGTCTCCTCCTCCTGGGCTCCCCCGGGTAACTTGGCCTCACAGTCTCATGAGCCAGGGCCCTCCCAACAGGGTCTCCTACCCAAGAGCACAGGGAGGTGGGAGGTCTGTGGACTAGGAGGTCCTAGGACCACCCAAGAGCCTCCAAATCCTGTCCAGGGAGGGCTGGCCAGGCATACACACACCCTGTGATGTACACACACTCAGCATGCACACACACACTCAGCCATACACATATACACACACTCAAGCACTCACACACATACACTCAGTCACACAGATACATACACTCAGGCATAACACGTACACACAGGCATACACATATACTTAGACACTCACACACACTATGCATGCACACACACACACACACACACACTTAAGCATGTACACACATACTCGGGCATACACACACTTATGCATGCACACGCATACACACACTTATGCATGCACACACTCAGGCGCACACATACACTTATGCATGCACACACATATTCAGGCACGCGCACACTTATGCATGCACACACATACCCAGGCACACATACACACACTTATGCATGCACATACATAATCAGGCACACATATACACACTTAGGCATGCACACACATAATCGGGCACACATACACACTTAGGCATGCACACGCATACTCAGGCACATGCGCACACACTTAGGCATGCACACACATCCTTGGGCACACACACAAACTTAGGCATGCACACATAAACTCAGGCACAAACATACACTCAAGTTTGCACAGTATACTCAGCCTCACGCACACGCACACTTAGGCCCACACTCGGGCTCTTCAAAGCCGGCCCCCATGTCCCTGAGGAGTGGGTGCAGCAGGGGTGCTTGCTCCTCTCACGCTGTTGCTGTTCTGGACCGTTCTCAGTAGCACTGACTGCAGGTGACTCGGCGTGTGGTGTTTGCCCTCGGTGCCCAGGTCAAGCCCGTGGAGTTCACCGTCCAGGCCATCATCACGACCTCGGACTTGGAGATCAGCCCCTCGGAGGTAGATTTTGGCCATTGCACCATCTACGAGGCTATTAGGACCAAGATCACCCTCCACAACCACTCCCTCCTGCTCCAGGAGTTTGGATTCCTCGGACTCCCCAAGGTACATGCGGTCTGGGAACAGCTGTGGCTGGGGGCCGGGAAGAGGGCCTAAGCCAGAGGCTGCCCAACCCTTCCCCGGGTCTCCACTCCCACCTCTGTCTCTCTGTCCACCCTCTCCCATCACCCCAACCACCACCATAGATCTCTGCTGCTTCCTCATGATAGCTGCCTCTCCCTCCACCTCTCCGCCCCACTGCACCCCGGTGCCTGCCTGTTGCATACTAGGCTCATCTCTCCACCCTTCCTTCTGGACCCCCCACTTCCCTGGGCTCTGCAGGGCAGGAAAGCCAAGCCCAACCCTGGCTTCCTCATCACTACTTCTGCACTGTCCACTGTCAACACCGCTGTCCACTCACACACATGCTCCTATGTCTGCCATCACCCATCCCTACGCCAACGCCGCCCCCAGCCATCACACGCATCTCCTCCCATTCTCTCTCACGCCCACCCCTGCCCCTGCGGCAGCCAAGGAGCTGCGTCCCCACTGCAGCGCTCCCCCAGCAGAGAGCCACACCGTTGTCATTTTGACCTCGGTGGCTACTTCTGTGTGCTAGTTCGTGGACATTCAGCCCAATGATGGGTTTGGGAAGATCTTGCCACTGGAGAGTCTACAACTTGACGTGATCTTCCAGCCCACCAAAGCCAAGGAGTACAGCTTCGAGCTGGTCTGCAAAACAGAGATTAACAGGTGAGCCTGCTGGGTGAGGGTGGTGGGCAGCTCGTGGCAGCCCCTCCATCTGCCCTGTACCAACAGCTCGGCCTCTAGACCCCACCACATCCATCTCACACCCGTTTCCTGAGCCTGCTGCCACCACTGCTCCACCTCTGCTTCTCCTCCTCGCGCGCGCGGGGTCCCATACCAAGGCGCTCTGCCTCCTGGGTCTAGGAGGTTCTCAGCATGGGACCCCAGGTCCAAAGGACACGGTCTCGTTCCAACTTCTCTTCTTGCTGGAAGTGAAGTCCTCCCTCTGCTATGGAATTGGCTCTCTTTGTAAGCCTAGTTGAGTGGCAAAACTTTCCAGTGCCCCCACCCCCAGTTCAGTTTCCACACACCTTATTTGCATGATCAGTGCC